CGCCACCTCGGGTTTTGTCCCATACGCGGCTTTCGCGAGGTTGGCGATTTGAAATCTTGCTGCATTATGTAGTGAAAGCCTCTGTATTTGGAACGACCTTCCTTGAGTCGTTCACTGATCTACAGCACAGGCCAAACTTCATGTCGTAGAATGGCTTTAGGTATGTAGGGGTAAAGGTCGATGGCTTCGGAACCCACAAATCTTCGTGGATGCATAGCCTGTAGCTTGCTTGTCCGGGGATCTAAACCCCCTGCCCTTAACCCAAAGCCCGCAGTTCAACGCGCCGGTTCCGTTGGGCACCAGCGAGGCCGTGACCCGTTCACGCAACCAGACGCTAGCATGCACAGGACCCGTTCTATGAGCATGGGCATGGAGAGGAACAGCCAGGTGACCGGTCCATGATGCATGCTTAGAGGATCATGGGACTTAGTAAGTCTAGGCTATGATTGGGGTTATAAGTCCCCTAAGTGGGGTTATCCTAATTATGACCTACTTATAACCTTACTTACTAAGTCCCATGAGCCTTCAAGTGTGAACCCAAAGCCCTGCACCCTAAACCCACAAAAGCAATGCCTGACTGTTGGAATCCTGTTTCACCGGCGGAGGACAGGATACATAGGAAGCTGCAGGAATCGGATCCATTTCTGTGAGCCGATACGCCCTCCAACCCGATACATACGAGTAGCCAGAGCCCGCGCGTGTCGGTTGAGCAGCTCAACCCGGACGGGCTTGCTCACGATTCCTATGAATGGATCGATGTCCGCCCCCGCCTTCCGGCCCTCGCTTTTTCGACTGCAATGGCAAATGTTAACGCGCATGTGTATGAGCCCATGCACCAATTGCGCTGGAGTGAGCGCACGATTTTCAAGGGCTGGCGGATCCGTGTCCGTACCCAGACCACTGCTGGGGTCTGGCACAAGCCCACGTTCTGGCCATACCCAGACATCTTTTGTCTGGCTCCGTCTGGGCGGCATGCAAGTGAACCCGATGATGCAGCCGTCCCAGGCCGCGTCCATGAGCATGATGACCCTATGCAGCAGACATTATGCCGGGCTTGCCAACTAACATGGGCATGGGCAAACCCTCAGCAACCCTCAGCCCTAAACCCCAAGCCCTTAACCCTACACCTCTGCCAGGAACCGTTTGAACTCGAGCCACAGTCCGACTTCAACCCCGTGGAAGGTTGCTTTTAGAGTTCTTGCAGGGTTACAGGGTTTGGGGTGTAGAGAGTTTAGAAACCGCCCCCTGCACCCCCCGCCCAAAGATCCTGAACCCTAAACAGAAATCTGTAAACTCACAAACCCCCTGAAACCCTCAATTGCCAAACTTTAAAGCCTTTGAAGCCGTTTAAGCTTGAGGTCGCATGGCTGAAGGTCTTGATTGCCCTTTATAGGTTGCCTAGGGTTTTGCAGGGTTTAAATTGGGTCTGTGAGGTTGTTTAGGGTTTATGGAGAGGGGGTTTAGGGTTGAGGGTCGTGCGATGCAGGGCGCCTGGTTCGACTGCCGGGTGGTGGCAGTAGATCCAGACACAGGCGCGAAAAAACTATGAAACTTAAAACTACAACCGAAACCTTAAAACCCTCGAATTTAAACACAAAACCCTAACGCCTGCAACTAACTTACCAAGTTCCTTAGAGCCCTGTTTCGTGGCTCTTGCATTGCTGCCGAGGGCCGAAGTGGATTTAGATTCTAGATGTTCGTGTGGCCACGAGATCGGAGGCTTTCGTAAGTCAAGAGTCAAGGATGCAAAGTGGGGGGGGGGGTGCTAAGCAAGCACAAACACCGGACCATTCTAGGGCCCCATATTATGATTATACTATGATTAGGGTATACTCTACACCAAAACTCTATTCTAATTATCAACGCCCCTATACTATGTGGCTTCATATGGTTCCGCGTTGTGTTTCGTGTTTGTCTGCTGCTGTTTTAAAAAGTTTGTAGCCGGCCCGATGGGGTTTAAGCGCGCCTTCGGTTCCATAAGGTTTAGGGTTTAAGGCTAAGGCCCCAAAATAGTTCCTTTTTGGGGGTTCATATATAGAACCCTATAAGGTAATCCCAAAAAGGAACTATTTTGGGGCCTATGGGTAGGGTTGATCGCAATACTATTCAATGGTCAATGCTTGGGTCCACTCTTTTCTGAAGTGCCCAAATTGGGGTTCGTGAGTCCCTGTTTTCGGCGGTCCTTCCATTTATCTGGGTCCATGCTTCCATTCTTGTCTTTGTCGATGCTTGAAAGGCGCTTGAATGAGTATGTAAAGTTTGCAGAGGTCTTTGGGTAGGATTTATAAGGATCTCAGCCTTGAGGTCATTCATGCAGGAATATTTCGGGAACTAGACTGCGGATCTACGGATCTTTGGTAAGGGGTCTTCTCTTGAAGCTCTCTGGGAGAATTTGTTCCCTTATGGGTTTGCTTCTCTTTGTGTGGGGTGGCGGCACTGTGTATTGCTGCCATGATTACAACTGTCAAAGAGCACTTTGATCTGCCCACATGTCTTGTGATTGTTGTGGCAGTATTTGCCGCAACAGCAACCCGTTGCATCAGCGCTGCAGACGAAGCAACCGTGATGACCGAAGGAGCCACGCATCATTTGGTGAAGACAGAGAGTTCCCTATCCCGTGGGCAGCCGCAGAAAACATGAAATGTTTCCTACGTCGATGTAGCTTTAGGGTTTAGTGTGTGCCGTCTTCGTTCTTTCGTAGACTTCTAGAGATCGCTGGGAGCACCTGAGGAAAAGTTGCCCGTGTTCCTTACACCCACGAAACAGCAGAACAGTTTTGTTTGAGCATCACCCCTAGACCCTATACCCTAAGCCCTAAACACTGAGCCCTAAACCCTAAACCCTATACCCTAAGCCCTACACCCTAAACCCTAAGCCTTATACCCTAAAGCCTAACATGGGCCCTCAAGGCCTGAGCTCGAAACCACGCAGGTGCACTGCGCATGGACGTAAAGCCCGACTACTGGATGCCTGTGGAGGAGCAAGAGGAGGCCTTTACCTTACCTTAGGGGTACTTGGAAATATTTTTTAGTTTGTGGTTGTTATAATCCCTAAGAAACAGCTACAATTATGTTTTTTGCTAGGGTTCTAAGTTCAGTATAGTTACATTTGGTTAGTCGGGAATTGAGGAATGGGGTACAATTATAACTTACAACTACTATGACTACCTTTCTTCCATTCCCTACAAACCAAAGGTAAGCTTTACAACCTGAGGGGCTCGGGTTTTGTTGATTCCTGCGGTTTTAGAGCCGGTACACACTAAGACTCTGAACACACACCCCCACCGCGAAACCTTTCAACAACGAGTCGAACATTCGATCGCTGGCTAGTTCGAAGGGCTTCATGTATCGGATTTACCTGTAGCCGAAAAGACCTACCTGTTTGAGGAAGTATATATATATATATATATAGAAACCATAATAAGGAACCCTAAAAAGGTAGGCCTTTTCGGCTACAGGTAGGGCTAACTGAGGATTGAAGCCCAAGCCCGATCAGGTGCTGAAAGCACGCTAGGGCGGAGCCCCTGTGAGAAGCTGAGAAACTTTTGTTTTACATTTAGCCCCCTTCCATGCGGTACAGCGCTGGGACGAGGGAGGCGTTTTGCAAACGGTCAATCGCCGTCGGTGATATCGCCGTAGACCCAAGGAATTTGGGCTTTTAATCTCCATTGCTGGGAAGATGTTTGGGTCCTCAGTGTTTTCCCGGGCTTTCGCCAACAGCTTAATGGAGAACAACAGTCCTTCTGTGGACTGTAGAGGCCGATCTCTATACTTACATTCTAGAGCCTGGATCTCAGAATCCTGGAGAAAGCCCTGTACAAATGAGGCCAAACATGCTCTACTCTCATGCTTCCACTCCCGGGAAGAGCTCAGAGTGCTTTCGTGGATGTATTTTGCCGTGATCGAAGGTAGCTGCGGGCCAAGAATCGAGCCGCGATCCGCCCCTGCTTCAGGGTTCCTCCCTTAAGGACGAAATGAACCCTAAAAGGGTTTAAGGTTCATATACCATATAGGGATTCATAGTATATGGGTATAGGGTCACTACTTTTAAGGGTCATGTGGTCCTTCGGGCCTGAGGATTCTGTAAGAAGCGGTTCTAGAAGGAGTTCAGGATTCAGGGCTTGGGGTTTAGGGGTTAGGGTTTAGGGTTTAGGGTTTAGGGGTTAGGGTTTAGGGGTTAGGGTTTACGCCTAGCTTAGGGTTTGGTGTTGAGGGCTTCAAGGTCAGAGTTGGGTTTAGTTTGCCGGGGATGGAGTCTCAGGACTTGGGGCATCTGGTTCGGAGTGCGGAGTTTCGGGGGTTTGGGTATTTGAGGGTGTAGAGTTTAGACATCGGAGTTTTAAGATAACTGTTTGCAGGGTTCGGGGAAGCAGAGATAGCCAGAAGTCATACGAGAGCTGTCCCTGGGCATCCGGATCCCGAAGCCGAGAAGACGACTGCGTTTGTTGTGCTTCTCGCGGTTGAGGGTTTCGGATAGAGGGTTGTCAGCCCTAAACCCTCATCTTGCGGGTTGGGGGTTTCGGGCTCGGCTTGGGATGGAGGACCTTTTAGGGTTTGAGGTTTGGAGCGGGTGCGGCTTAAGGGTTTAGGACAGCAAGGCACCACCTAACGACGGCTTCGGCTACAGGTTGCAATGGGGGAAGTCTGCTAAGTACTCTTCTTCATTTCAGCGCGCGGACCCGGCACCCTCTGACTATTTCGGATTTTGTGCGAGTGTTGCTGCGGTTTCTGCTTCAGGCTTCTCGACGACTTCGCTCTGGACAGTGGTTCATGCCCACGTTGAGCCCTAGCTCTCTTTACTGTCAGAGCCTGAACCCTAAGCCTAAACTCTAAAGATCTGACCGACCAAACCGTAAATCCCAAGCCCTTTAAGGAAACTGTTCTAGAACTCTCTCAACGTACTCTTTTGATTAGAACCCTTTAAGGCAAGCCTTTTAACTAATGACCCCTAAAAGTTCCCCAAATCCCCAAGCTACCACAGCATCGCTGATGTGACGGCAAATGGCGAAGCACCGGAGTCGCCTTTCGAGGCACAATCCTACCTAGGATGCCCAGTAGTACCCTTGTTCCCTTTTTGTAGTCCTAGGTTCCTTATAAAGTTACCCAATACCACAAAGAGAGGCCTTTTTGTTCTTAGGTTACTGGGTATCCTAGCTACGAAGGGTTTAGGGCTTTGGGTTTAGGGTTTAGGGTGGTTTTACAGGGGTTCCACGAGGGTTATCCAGGGTTGCTAGAGTCTAGGGAGGTTTGTAAAATACAGGTTTCTGTAGGGGGGTTGTAAGAGAGGTGGCTGTGGCTTTGGTGTATGACGAGCTGAGCACCTATGGTGGTAGTTCTGGTTGTGAGGATAATCGCCCAAGCCTGTATGGTAGTCTGAGGTGGTCCATACATAGCGGTGCTCCATCGGATCACGGTGGTGGTGCTGTTTTTCAAAATTTTGTGGCGAGCATGCTTGGGGAGATGGTTGTGAGATTGGGCTTAGATCCCCGACGGGTAAGTACGGTTCAAGGACCTGACAGTGAATAATGTGGAGGTCTGCAAATTCCAAATCCTTACAGAGGGCGGGGCGCCATTCATCAGGGGTCCACTTCATGAAACCCTAAACCCGAAACCCTAAACCCGAAGCCCTGGATCCTAAACTCGAAACCATGACGTATCCCGAAGCCCTGAACCAGAAACCCCTAAACCCCAAACCCTAAACCTGGATCCCGAAACCCTGAACCAGAAACCCCTAAACCTAAACCTTAAAGGCCCTAAAGTGAACCTTGAACCAATTCCGGAGCAGGCATACCTCGTGGATCCTCGTGAGCACCCTGCTTTGCGCCGCTGCCTTCGTGACGCCGTGACCTGAGAACGCTCGTAGGAGGCCAAACGGGGTTTTTAGCCTATGGGGGTTTAGTAGGGATTAGGGTTCCCATAATAGGGTATAGGGTTCATATTCAGGAATCCCTACCCCGAGAATCTTAAACCCCCCTTTTGGCCTCCCATCAGACGCAGCCGGCCGAAGGCGAAACCCCTAAAAGGGTCCAAATACCTAGGACCTAGTAACTGTACAATTACTACCCTACAAAAGGACGAGTTTTGCGTTACATCCTAACTAAGCCCAAAAAGGGCCCTTAGAGAAACGAAGACGCGGGCCAAGTCCTGGACACAACATAACGTGCTTTTCAGGTTACTACGTCGATAAAGAAGCCTGAGCAATTGCGAAGATGATTCCCCGGTGTTCCCCTTATTATTGTTATAGTATAATTTACCCCAAGGCCCTGTACTTTCTGCAACAACCTAAAACCCTACATTCTATCTATGAAAGCTTCTGTACTGGAAGTCAAGGCGTGCTTGCACTGATAGCATGACACCAGTCTAAAGCATGTAAAAGCAGCGTGCGACAAATTTGCAAACCCAAGGGGTCCATGTACCCAAAGAGTGTATACTTTGGCCTCACTGTAGTCCCTATACCCGTCCATAATTTTTATATGTATTATGTATATATATATACACACACACACACACACATATGGCGAGAGCGAGAGAGAGAGAGAGAGAGAGAGAGAGAGAAAGAGAGAGAGAGAGAGAGAGAGAGAGAGAGAGAGAAAGAGAGAGAGAGAGAGACTGAGAGAGCGAGAGAGGGAGAGAGAGATTGGGGCTTTAATTCGGCACATTGACATGGACCCTTAGGGAAACAGCGTTTTCGCAAGGGCAACCGTGCACGGAGCCTTCATGGCACCACACTCTACTCTACTTTTTCTATAGGTTCTTATCATCAACCCTTATACAGAAGTTTTAAATGGGGGCCCCACAAAAAAGGCGGGTTTTGGTAGTTCAAGGTCGACCCTTTAGGCCGGCCAATTCTCCGAGGTGTCAGCCGAGACGTCACGTGGCCAAGGAGCGACACGTAGGGTCTCAGAAATCGATGCTGCCAAACTTAGGTGGTTTAGGGTTTATAGGGGTTTAGGGGTTTAGGGTTTAGGGCAAGGGAAAGACTAGGCCCAACTTGCCGGGTGGAGAGGAGGGGACTGGTTTAGGATTTGCGTTTTTTGTGCTACTGCGTTTTCTGTTGTTGGCGTTTGGTGCCACTTCTCGTCTTTGGGTGGGCGTTGGGCCTGCACAAACAAGCTCCCGACTTCAAGGTGCGGCGTAGTGCTACGGATAAGAAGGATCTTGGATGCATTTCAGGTTTTAGGGTGTAGGGTTTCATGTCTCAGGGTTTAGGGTGAGCCACACAATATTACTAGCTGAAATTGATCCTCCACGTGGACCCTCGCAACAAGTGGCCTTCTCCGTTTCCAACTGCACGAGTCCCCGGGGCACCGCATGCAGCACATGCGGTTGGTGATATAAATCCTGCATTACTTTAATGACCCTAAACTATGGTAATTGTAGTATATAGCATATTCCTAGTGGTTGGTAATTATGGTATACTCCTTACTATGGGTAAATATGGCATTCCCTATTATGGGAATTATGGTATATATCCTTATTATGGGTAATGCAGGGTTTGTATCATCAACCGTACATCTCAACTTGGAGAAGAACCGCCCAGGTTGAGGACAGTTTGCAGAGTTTACTTCGAACTTAGGATTGAGGGTTTAGGGTTATTAGGGTTTGGGGTTTAGGTTTCGGATGGTTTGAGAGTTGGGTTTTGAGCTTCGTGAGGAGGGCTTAAAACCCCCAAAGTGACTACAAAAATGAGCCAACACCCATAAAAGGCCATTATTCTACATACTTTTGGGGTGAACCCACTTGGTGTGTTCGCTTCTCGCGCATGCTTCCGAGATCTCTACAAGTGCCAGAAGCTTAAAAAGGGGTTGAGTGGCAAACCCTACCAGGACCCTATAAAAACCTTCGTAGATGTTGACAGGGCTCATATAAGGAAGTCATAATAAGGAACCAAGAGGGTAGCTTGTTTGAGGTTCAGGTGAACCCCTAAACCTCAAACCCTAACCCTTATAAACCCTAAACCCCTGATTCCAGAGAATTTGGACCCAGGAGCGCAGTCTCATTGCAAGACATGCGGCAGTGCTGGAAGCTAGCGGCGTGCGGGGGACTGGGGCTCAGGGCGGCTTGGGTTCGCCTAAACTGTCTGGGTGTCTGATATGGGTTTAGGGCTTGGGGTTTAGTATTCAGGGTTCAGGATTTGTGGCTTAGGTGTAGAGTTTTGGGTTTCGGTTTCAGCGTTTGCAAACGGCAAACCCTAATTATTACCTATGCAGCTCCAAGTAGGGTTTGGGGCAGGTTCAGGACCTACAGGGCTTCGAGTTGGGATTATTTTAGGGCTTGTGGTTCAGGGCTTAGGACTTGTCTTGTTTATTGCGCAGGGTGTGTCGGGCATGGTAGGGCTTGGAGCGAGGCTATTCGAAGCTATGGGGGCGTCAGGGTGTTTAGAGCTTTCAGACTCTTGGGTTTGCGTGTTGAACCCTACTTTTTTGTAGGTTCCTATTCTAAACCTTAATATGGAATCTATAGGGACCTTACAAAAAAGAAGGTTTCGATAGGTTAAGGAAGTTTTGCAAGAGACAAAAGAGCGGAGGGGCAAGGGCCGGTCTTGATCTTGTTCTGTGGTTCGGCCTATAGGGCTGCGACAAGGGTGGTTGTCAAAATTAGGGTTTAGGGTTTAGGGTTTAGGGTTTAGGGTTTCTTGGGTCCTTAATATAGTACGGCACCTAATATTTAGGGTACCCAAAAGGGGACCCTAATTTTGACAGCCACCCGGAAAGTATTTAAGGTTGAGCTTTCTTTGCTTGTAGGGTTTAGCTAGACCCCCCAACTGCCCTCTATTCTACCCCGAATATTGTCGACCAAGGACCATGAGAGATTTGTTAAAGGGTGCTTGGGGGGATCCTGGCAGTCAACATAGCTCAGGATTTAGAGCTCAGGGTTTTCTGGGTATAAGGGTGCCGCTCGGAATTTTCTCGGTCTTCTGACCATAAATCCGCTGTAGGGTTTAGGGTAGGGCCCCGCGCATCCCCTTGGAGGGTTGTAATACAGTACTCCGGATAATCCCAATATCGACTCTGTCTGAAGTTTACTTGGAAGGGCAGGGGACTTAGTAAGTAGGTTATAAGTAGGGTTATAATTGGGGTAACTCCAATTAGGGTACGTATAACTCTACGTATAGCCTACTTACTAAGTCCCCTGCCCTTCCAAGTAGGAGCGCATCGCGCAGGACCCACGACGAACTGCGCACCCTTTTCAAGATCGAGGAGCTGACGATCGATCAGGCCGACCAAAACTAGGACCCAGAGTAGGCCCTTATTCCCTTTTTTAGGGTTCAGGTTCCCTTATAAGCCCCTTCAAACCAAAAAGGGCACCCTCTTTATTTCTAGGTCACTCTTGGGTCTAGAAAACGGGTTCAAGTTTGAGGGTAGTGCATTGGGTTTTCTCGGCTTTGGGTAGGGTTTACCTAACCCGAGAGCCGTGCTATAGGGGCATGAATAGTTACCTACATTATTTTGGGGGGGTTCCTTATTCTATTTTATAGGATGTTGGCCCCCCAAACCCTGCTCTAAGCCCATATATTAAGCCCTCCCTGAACCCCGTGATGTTCGAGTTCTACTAGTACAAGTTCCAAGCAGCCTTAGCAGCTCACCACAGCTTGTTGCGAACTTCAAATGCCTGAGCCCTTCCAAGCGAGACTTCTCGATGCTGAACAAGCTTTGACCATTCTGGGGAGAGAGAGAGAGAGAGAGAGAGAGAGAGAGAGAGAGAGAGAGAAAGAGCAAACAAACAGAAGCACATGGGGGAGTGGCTGGGCAGTACGTACCCAAGACAATCCGTGAAAACCATGTGGGCGGGACATACGCACCGGGCTGTGTGATGTAGTCGGACTGATGGAACAAGCCGTTGCAAATCCCGCAAAATCATCCGTCGCATCGGGGTCTTGAGATGACACACGATGTGTCCCTTGCTCTGCCTACATGAAGTTCATGGGTAGTTGTAAGTAGGATAAGTAGGGTAAAACGTAGGAGAACTCTACTTACAGCCCATACTCGGGACTAAAGCCCACAGCTCTCACTACCCATGAACGTCCGCACCACCCACCGAACCTGTGGCACCCTTTTTGGGGTTTGGAACTCCAGGGTTGTGGGGCTTATGGTATTGTGCTTTAGGGTTTGAAGGTTAAGGGTTTAGGGTTTAGGGTTTAGGGTTTCGGTAGAAATTGATGACATGACAGGCTACTGCTTCTCTCTCGAAGATAGCACAAAGGCGGTAAGTTGAAATCCGGAAAGCTGTAGATGCTAAATGCCGGGCTTCAAACCAGTCGTAGAGTCCTGAAGTCACAGCCATATCCGAAGGCCTTAAACCGAACAAGCGGATGCCCCTGAGCCTTCAAACTCTCTGCAGGGAAGGAAGGTGGCGGTGGTCGGGGCCAACGGCTGTGGGAAATCCACCTTGCTCTCTGTTCTGGCCGGGAAGAACTCTCCCAAGGAGGCTTGGTTTACGGTTTAGGGTTTAGGGCCCTACACTCTGAACCCTCTTCTTGAAACACTGAACCCTTAGATTAGAACAAAACCTAAACCCTAAGAGCTCCACCTGGGAGGCTGGGAAGACACCCCAAGCCCTAAACCCTATAGAACTCCGCAACGAGTCGGGGAAGAAAGGGTGCCGGACGGCATGGTTTTCAGTGCTGCGTTTAGGAATCGGGGTCTGCTCTATGCTTTCGGTTTTCAGGAGCAGGTGTGGAAGGGAAAGCGTATTGAATACTTTTGGGCTTGGGCTTGCGGCCCGAGTGATTTCAGTACTGTCGTTTTCTGTTCCTGGGCCATGACTGTAGGTAAGCCCCAGAAGCCAAAAGCTACCTGCAACAAGCGCTCCGTAGCACCTATCAGCCCAGGTTCCTGTTAAGGGTTTCTGCATGGGTTCAGTAATTAGGGTTTCTTACGAGTTTAGGCGGTTTGGGAATCAGGGCTTAGGAAATTGAGAAGTTGGGGTTTGTGGTCAACCTCCGAAAGTTTGAACGTGCTTCAAAGATGGTTAGTGCTAGGAGACGCTCCACTTCACCCTGCCAGAACCTTCTTTTCGTAGGGTCTTCATATAAGCCCAACGACCCAAAACCCCGAACCCGCAGCATTTATGAGGACCTCACAAGAACAAGTACCTGTAGACCGAAAAGACCTATATACCTTTAAGGGGACTATATATAGAAACCATAATATGGAGCCCTAAAAAGGTAGGCCCTTTCGGCTACAGGTAGGTGCTGGTAGTTTACGGTACTGCTTGGGGGAGCCCTTCGAGCCTGAAATCCCCTTCGCTGGGTTCTTGTCAAGGAACTTCGCTTTAAGGTACCATAGTAAGGGTCTACAGTACATAAGGTGGTGTCCTTATTATGACAATATGTAAGAAGGGTTACAGTATATGATAGGGTTTCCTTATAATGATAACTTATAACTTCAGTTCGTTAAGAGGAACTCAGAAAACTCTCGAACTGAACTTGATTGAAGGGAGAAGTCGTCCTGCGATCCGGCGCGCACGTGACCGTCGTCGAACAGAGCCCGAAGTTTGACTCCAAGAAGACGGTGCCTTGGCAGTTTCGTCATTGCTTCTTCTTGCTTATGGCTGTAAGGCTTCATAGTCAATAGTCACACGATGTCATCAACCCCTAAACTAAGCCCCAAGCCCTAAACCCTAAAATACCATAAACACCCTGCCCCCCCCCCCCCCCCCAAGACCTGGTGCTTTCCTCGGCCCCCTGAAGTTGAAAAACTCTCACAGGTGCAGGACACCATTTTCGAGAAGGCGGCCCTCCGAGTGTATTGCATTCTTTGGGGTTTCTAGGGCTTTCCGGGTTTATAGGGATTTAACTTATTGTCTGTAAACTCAACTTTTCAACTTTTGGGGCTCTTATAAGGTAGTAGATTCTGGAAGTGTCAACTGTTATTTCCTTAGGTTTGGGCCAGTGAGTTAGGGACGTAAACCAGAAGCCTGAACACTGAACCCTGAACCCAAGAACAAAGCCCGGAACCCTGAACCCCAAAGCCGACTTAGATACCAAACAACAGCCGTCAATTGCCGCCAAGCTAACACCCTAAGCCCTAAACCCTGAACCCTAAACCATAAATCCTAAACTCTAAACTCTAGACCTTGAAAGAACCCTTTGTAGAGCCCTCAAGGAAACTCCCAGAGATCCCTGAATTGAACCCGCCACCCAAATAACAAACCCTAAACCCTTCGTCCTTTGAAGGAGCCCCCAAAACAGTGTAGGCAGTTATTGTAGGGCCCCGAATATAGAAGCCTATTATAGATCTCTTCAAGGAACCCTCCCGACAGCTCTTTGCCTTTGGGCTCCGGCAAGGCGAACTCCCCGCAGGCACAGGCTGCCCGGGATTTCCGCGTGGCCACGGCGCTGGGCGACGCGACTGGGCCTTGTTTCTGATGGGTTTCCGAAAACAAGGGATGCCTTATCTTGGGGCCCTTATAATAAGTATCCTACTACTATTTCGGGTACCATATTCGATGAGTTTCTTGTGTTTGTTACTCGGTCGTTTACTTCTGGCATTTGACTCGACGTTTCTAGCACTACATAGAGCTTTAACAGATTTTATCTGCATTGTGAAGTGGGTTTTCGGGGGTTCATGCATCCTTTGACTTGAATCTATCTGGGTCCTGGACTGGGGTTTACGGGCACGGCAACGGTACCCGTTCTACACAGGTCTTAGGGATGCTACAAGGGTTCTGTACCGGTTCAGGGTCATATAAAATGTGGGAGGAGGACGCTGTGGACGCTTGTTTGTTCCACACCGGATCACAACATCAAGCAGTCGAAAACATAAAATGAGCAACACCCATCCAGAAGCAGCCATGGTCACCCCCTTCGAAGACCCACCTTCATGTAGTTTCCTATCCGTATATTACCTTGGTCCAAGGCTCTTCATAGATAGACACCATATGAAACAGCGCGAATTACGATGTATTCTCGGTAGATTCTATCTTATGGCCTGCTTGCTCCTCATGAAGCTTCTCATGAACCAATGTTAAGCTTACCCAAAAACCTCTGACCAGGATCCGGCGGGGCTTTAATATAACTTATGAGGCACCAGGCGTGGCACTGTGGTACTTTCCGCATGTGCATACAAAAGTAGGGTATAGTAGAGCGTAAGATATAATATGGCATGGTGCCCATATACTGGAGCATAAAATATAATATGGCATGGTGCCCCGTAATATGGGACAGAACAGTATAGTGCAGTATTGCGACGTACAGTCTAGTTCATCATGTATGTGTAGTATAGCACGATACAGAACAGCTGTATACTGTGCTAAAGATACAGATTATGGTAGTCTGATATCATACGAACCTGTTGAATATGAATACTGTAGGTCGAAGGTAGAAAACAGAGATCAGCCTTATGTTCTAGTCTAGTGTATTACAATATGTTGTGATATGACATTGGCAGTAAAGTGCACGATAGCATATGGTAGCGTTGACGCTATATTGCAGTGTGGTATAGCATACACTATATGGGATACGATAGTCTAGTATAGCACTACCGCAGCATGGTGTAGGAAAATACACTGCTGCATGGCCCTGTTTACTATGTTTACTATTTTAGGAGGGTATAGTAGAGCATAGCATGATATAGCAAGGTATAGTGCGCTAGCATAATACAGCGAAGTATAGTCAGGAGTCTAGTGTACTATTCTGCCGTCAGTTCTAGTTCACTATATAAAGCACGAGCATAGGTCATAGAAAGAGCGATTTGCGTGCATGAACCGAAGAATGTGGTACCATGCACACCACATATCCACTTACAAGGCTCGGGGTCGACACCACAGGGTATCTGCTCGCAGAACTCTCGGTGCCAAAATGGCGGGGTATATCGCAAGTACGAATGGAGGCTGTGCTTTTTGGTAGTGTGTGTTATGTCAACGTATACGATGAGTAAACTGAGTAAAATCACGAGTTCGACTTCCCATTAGGTTAATCTTCTTTCACTGGACTAATCGAAGGGCCTTCAATTGCTTGTATCGGCTATGCATATGATATGATATACAATGTTTCAATTTAGGTTATTAGAGCGTAGCATAGTACAATGTATTAAAGATAAGCATTGACGCCGTAATCTAGTATGGTGTAATGCAGTCTAGTATAGCGAAGTGCAATGTAGTACCTTTCAATACGGGCAAACCCAGTACAGTAAACTCGAGCATAGATGACGATTAACTATCAAATATTGAGTGGTACTGTGTCGACTGCTATGCAATGCAGCAATGCGGTATCGTGTAATCCAGCATAGCACAAAGGGGCTTGGTATATGGTAGTGCAACTTACTACATTCAAACATAGCCTAGTCTAGCACCAACACAATATAGGATAACCTTGGACGTTACAGTGTTGCATAGTTTCGCAATGGTGTAAAAACAAATGGCTACTATAGTATATCAGCGGCACACCTGTAGTCTGGTTTGGTGGAATAGACTATAGTACATAATTATTGGGAGCCCTATGATCCTGAGCTCTGCAGAATTAAGGTCAACAGGTTTGGAAATATGGAAAGCCCGATGGAAATTCCACATCTCCACATGTGCAAAGCTCTGTGGCTTTGGACGCAGCACATGTGGAAAGGTGGAATTCCATTGAGGTTTCCGTTATGTGCCAGACAGACACAATGCTGGGCCCCCTGGGTCCGAGAACCAACATTGCAGAAAAAAATTCTTGGACCCGCTCCGAGAGCCACGCGCCCCGATTTAAAGATTTGGAAAAACTTAAGTGTTTAAATCGGGGCCCCGGCTCCAAGATGGATCCAAGAAACATCTTTCTGCAATCTTGGATCTTGGATCCAGCCGGGGCCCGACTTAAACACTTAAAAAAACTTAAGTCGTTAAGTCGGGGCCCCGGCTGGATCCAAGATCCAAAATTGCAGAAAGAAGTTTCTTGGATCCATCTTGGATCCGGGAGGGCCCCGACTTAATGACTTAAAAAAATTAAGTCATTAAGTCAGGGCCCCGGCTGGATCCAAGATCCAAGATTGCAGACCAAAGTTTCTTGGATCCATCTTGGATCTGGGAGGGCCCCGACTTAATGACTTAAAAAAATTAAGTCATTAAGTCAGGGTCCTGGCTGGATCCAAGATGGATCCAAGAAACTTTTTCCTGCAATCTTGGATCTTGGATCCGGGAGGGCCCCGACTTAATGACTTAAAAAATTTAAGTCATTAAGTCAGGGCACCGGCTGGGAACACAACCGACAAGGAAGAAACAAGCGTCCACGGCGTCCCCTTCTGTAAAATGTTGGTGGTTCAGGCGTCCTTTACAAGGGAACCTTAGAGGTGCATGCTGCTCGTGTGCTCGTGGGCCTTATCGGGCCGCTTCATTGGGTATAAGGTTTAGGGTTGAGGGAGTAGAGTTTCGGGTTTGGGAGTCTAGGGGTTTAGAGTTTATAGGGGTTAGGGTTTAGGGGTAACCCCGAAAGCTTAAACTTTAAACCCTACACGCATATATGGTCCCATATCCATTAATTTTAACGCTACGCCGCCCGCCTCGGCTCTGTAGCGGCAGGGCGAGGCGGCAGTGGATGTTGTATACAGCATGCTAAGCGGGAGTGTCGGGGAGGGGGGGAGCCGGACAAGGGGGTGGCAAATGAGCGCAAAAAACGGGTGTCCCCAAACATTTGGACTGCAGGGAGGAGGATTAGGTGGAGGGTACCTGAGGTAACCACCAAGACGCCTGGGCCTGTAACCGGTTAAGGCCTTCCAGCCATGCCGCCCGGAGCAAGAAAAAACAACACAGAAAGAGCCTGAAAAGAAAGACAGGCAGTGGATTGACGACGCAAAAGCCAAAGCGGGGGCGAGGAAGACGAAACGAGGGCGGGGAGAAGAAGTGGGAGCAGGAAAGAGGGAAGAAAAAGGGGGGGAGGGGGGGGGGGGGGGGGTGAAACCATAAACCTCTAAAGGGGTAGCTCTAACAGGTACCTACAGCAATGGCTGCATGCTCATACATATACATTCCGCTGCCCATTGGCTCACAGTGGTTTTACCATATTGAGACAAGACAAGCTCTCCTTGCGTAGCAAGACAAAACAACTACTGTCCGTGTGCAGGGCGCTGCCCTTTGATCCTTAGGGAATAACTGGTCATACACCTCCTCACAAGGAGTATCCCTTGGGGGTGTATCGGCACAGTTTTCTGGTAGCGGAGCCCGGAAAGGGCCGCCCGCCTCACAAAGTCCGCTACAGCGGTCGGCCTCGCCGAACGCTTAACCAAGCGGATAAGAGGCAGCACAATGTCGAGCTCGCATAGCGAAGCCGACGGCAGTTCCCAGTCCTCCGGGGGATATGAGAACGAAGAGACCTCCCAAGGTCCAGCTACTTATGTCGCACAGTCATATGCAACATCTGACCGCATGCTTGCATCATTAGGCATAACGCCCAAGATCGCGCCTGCCTATGATGGCACCACCTCGTGGTTTGAGTATGAACAGTTGATTGACGACTGGTGCGATATAACAACGCTGGATGATACCAAAAGAGGTCCGTCTCTCAAGACGAGGCTCTCCGGATTGGCCGCAGTACAAAAAGAATCACTCAACCGAGAAAGGCTTGCAGCCCCAGACGGAGTAGATTACTTCAAGAAGAAGATGCGTCCATTTTTCGTGAAAGGAGAACAGTACGTTTTCCTGTGGCGTTTTCTCGGCCTATTCAAGGCATGGAAGGGCAACCAAGACTTTGTGACTTGGATTGCTAAGTTTGAGATCGTGCTACAGCGCGTGAGAAACTCATGGATGGATCTCTTACCAGAGATAATTCTGGAAGATGCCCATCCGGATTTCATGCAGGCTGTGCAAGCAGATCAAACCTTCATGCGCCTACAGGATGCAACCGAGAGAGACACATACGCCGCACGTTTCTTCGAAACATGGAACAAGGAACGCCTTGATAATCATCGAAGAGCGTTTCCTCTAAATGATAATCTCCTAGCTCTCCTCTTCCTAGTGCAGTCCGACCTAAATGAGATGCAACGTGAGAGGTTGGTAACAGCATTGACCAACCAAGGTTACCGAATTGAGACCTACACGTACCCTATAGTACGGCAGACCATGTTCGATCAGTTCTCAACGACCAGAACTGGTCTGCAGGATCCCAATATTCGGCACACTTCTCACAAGAAGGACCGCCATGGAAGGAGAGATCAACGCCGCAAACGCGGAGGTCGAAACTTCCTCATCCTCGATCAGGGTGAATACGACGGAGTCGATGGATTCTGGCTCCAAGACGAAGACACCCTTGAGGAAGGCTTTCTTGCCGCCGAGGATGAAGAAGCTGTCTTCTGGACAGTTGACGACCATGAGGCCTTCGTTGCAAGGAGATTCAAAAAGGGAAGAAGACCAAGAATGCGTCCCGGATCACCGGGAAGAGCAAAGGGTGGCAAGCGAAAAGGACGTGGCCGTTTTAGGTCATACCGCGGAAAAGGGAGAGCCAACCAGGCAGAACATGATCCAACTGATTCCAGCTATTTCGGTAAAGGTAAAGGAAAGGAAAAAGGAAAAGGTGGAAAAGGCAAAGGAAAAGGAAAGGACAAAGGAGATAAAGGAAGCTCCTTCAAGGGTACAAAATCAAAAGGCAAAGGTAAGGATACAGCTAAGTCTGCCTCCTTACAAGGAGACCAAACTGGATCTCCACAGGCCTATGAAAGTTCCACCGCACCGAGCTGGGATTCATGGTATGAGGACAGTTATTATACTGACTCCAGTTGGAATTATGCCGCTTATGACGATCAAACGTCTTATACATACTATGCATCACAAGCCTCACGAAGAAAGACACGGAGAAAGAAGAGAAGAAATCAAGCAGGATCATCAGGTAGAGGCACAGATCCGAGCGCGCACCAAGAACCCGTGTACAACTCATCAGTGAGTTACGCGCCCCAGGTTTTTGAACCATCCGAGGGGCAAGGTGTGGAGACTGCAACAGCAGTGTTTCCGTTGCAGCACACCGTCCTATCTGCTCTCACCGAGCGGATCAATCTTGATAAGAGCCCTACCTTTGTCATTCTTGACTCTGGTTGTACTAGGGCTATGGGTTCCCGCTATGCGGTGAACAGGCTTATCAAGGCCGTGAAGCAACATGCCCCAGGCATGATTGATTTCACTTTTTCACCTTCGAACACGAAGTTCTCTTTCGCAGATAGTGAAACAGCTCTTATCAAGGAGCGTGTAACTCTATGGTTTAACACAACTCCAAGAAGAGATACAACCATAGAAGTTTTGGATCAGGGAAGAGTCCCCATCTTGTTCTCCATTGAACAGATGAGAAATCTAAGAATGACCCTCGAGTGTAGTCCAACAGCTGACCTAGCAACGTGTGAAGCTTTCGGTTTGTATAAAACCCCTCTTCCGATTAGTACCAATAACCATTTGGTATTGGACCTTTTAGGCTTTACTTCCACCAGGAAGTACCTTCCTAAGTCAGGTACATCGTTCCGTGCGACGGAGACTGCTCTAGGAGCCAATAAGCCTTATGTTAGGATACCGGAAGGTCGCTGTCCAGCCTGTGCCGGACAGAAAAAGGCTCACACGTACCTCAAGGGTTGTGACAGAGCACCTGAGGGAGCAGCTGATCCACCACCGAAGAGGATTTCAGGGAAAAGGAAGCCTCTTCCATCTGATCCGGCAGAATCATCTGCCAAGAGACTTGATCCACCAGAATCATCTGGAGATGTTCCTGAGCCTTCCGGACCATCGGAACCATCATCAGGCTCTAGAGACAAACCTGCAGAATCCTCTGCACCGCATGAACCTCCAGAAGAAGAAAGACTTGAGGTTCCATCTGCGAAGATAAAGACTCCAAAGGGTCTTAAAAACCTTCTGAAGAAAACCCGCAAATATGCGGACAAACCTCCTGTTGAAGAGAAGTCTACAGTCCCAGGAGCTGATGACGGGACGGAGGTAAGACCACTTGAGTCAAGAGAATACCCGGCTCCTGGTACAGACTCACCAACAGGTGAAGA